TCGGGTACAAGGGTCTTCTCAGCAGTTCTGAGAGGGAGGGGCTCTGGGGAGGAAGAGGCCGGCTGGAAGGAGGAAAGACACCCACCCCACCCCCACCTCCAGGGCCCCATTTGGGTGGGGGGAGGGGCGAGCTGGCAGGACTAATGGGCTCATGATTCATCGCTGGGCTCTTCTCTGCGCTAATTGGCTCTGCAGGCCGCTTCATTCATGGCAGGGAGCCTGGCTCTGGGGGACCCCCGTGTCCCTCCCCCACCTCCCATCCAGGATGGCTGCATGAGGCTTTTAGATCCAGGATCTGTTCCAAGGGACTGCTACCCGGCATCCATCACTGCTGACAGACTGAGGCTCCGAGGTGGGGGCGGGGACGGAGACGCCAGGCCCGGAGCTGCCCGGAGATGCTTCTGACCCCACCCCAGCCACAGAGGGGCATCCGAGGGCAGCCAGGGCCTGGGCTGGGTCTCAGGGAGAAGCACGGGGATATCCAGGCAGGTGTTGAGTGGTGAGGAGTGGTCTTCTAGTGGTCGAGGGGGTAGGAGGCAGTTGGAAAACAGGAAGAACATTGAGGGCAGAAGAAAGGCTTGGGCAAGTGAGGACTGGGCTGGAAGGGAACTGAGAGATGAGGCTGGTGACTCTGAGCAGAGGTACGCAGGATAGCGCCCTGAAGCTTCCTCCTAAGTTGCCCAGAGCGAGGCAAAGGCGACCTGAGGCTTCGCTTGAAGAACTGCTGTGATCTTAGCCGTCTGAGTCTCCGCAGCTCAGGACCTGTAGTAGAAAACTGTCATCCCCAGGCAGAGGCACTCTTGGGGACCTTCCTCTGACACTGTCTTGGTCCAGGCGCCCAGAGCCTAGGAGTGTTGTCTGCCATTCATTACCCTCCACAATGACAAGTGTCTATCAGGGACACTCCCCTGGTACAGGGGTTGGCAGGGCCTCCATTCCCTGGACAGGAACACCCACTGTGTTCCCCTATCCTCCTCCAGAGCATCTCACTACAAAGAGAGATTTTCAAGCCCTGGAAGGCCCCTGATGTCTCTACCCCACATCTGGGCAGCAGCGTATGAGGCCAGACCCACCAGGCTGGAGGGGAGGGCAGCGGTCCGGCCCGGCTGTCAGAAGCTGGGCAGGGTCCAGTCAGAGTAGGGCTGGGGGCTGGAGGGGGCCCGGCTTGAGCTCCAGAAATACCTCCTGCAGGAATCCATGAATGAACAACTGTCCTGCAGCCTCTGCAGAGGGAGGCCCGGGCCGGCGACAGAAGGAGATGAATGGAGAATACAGTCCACAGTGAGGCACCACCAGCTTCTTAGCTGCTCTGGCCAAAAGCCCAAGCGCCATCTCCATTCCTCCCTTTGACCCTCAGCCATATCCAGTGGTCAGCAGGGCCTGCTGGCTCTAATTCTAAACCAAGCTCAGAATCGGGCTCTGTCTCCACTGCTGCCAGCGGCTGGTTAGCCCGACACTGCCACAGCCCGGGTCCGGCCTTTCCTGGCAGCCTCCACGCTGACACCTAGAATCCATTCTCCACACAGCCGCCAGATCGTTCAAATACGTAAATCAAATCCAAACCCTCTAATGGTTTTCTATCACGTTTAGCAGAAAAATCAACCTCCTTGCCTTACCCTTACAAGGCCCAATATGATCTGGCCTCAGGCTACCTCCCTCGCCAGCATTAGCATTACAAGCAGTTCCTAAGAGACAACCTTCATGGTATTCAGAAGACCAAACAGCAAATTGAGAAGGAGTTAAGACAGTTTTTACAAGAGCTCTCCAATCCCAAGGAGTCATAACATATGCATTTCCAAATGTATCAAGAATATCTTTACTAAATGAACTTTGGGTACCATTTTATACAATACTAGTTCTTAGTTTTTTGAATACTGAGAAAGGGACAGCCTCATACTTAACATGTTGCCCATGCCCTGCAATCACCAGATAAGCATGTAGCTCTCCCAAATGTACGCCTTCTTTGAAACATTGTTTCATAGCAGTTTACAATCGTACTCCTCAAGAGAGGGAGGGGGAGGTGGCAGCGGCAGATTATCTGCGAAAGAGAGGCAGGTGGTGTAGAAAGGACTGGAGTAGAAGAAGTAGGGGGAGAGGAAGGGGGAGAACGAGATGCAGGTTCAGCACAATTATTCTGCGAGGAAGAATACAAGGGACATAGAGCAGTGCGTACCAAACTCCAGGTAGTTAAAATGGAAGTGGGGATTTTCTCCCTTGCTGATGCCTACATTTTTAATTTTTAGTAACCCATTTCCAGAGTTTTAAATCGATTGTTTCATGGTCTGGAAACTAGGGACAAGTCTCCTGTACCATTTGTAACAATTTAATAAGTTGCTCTTCCGACATGGTGTAATGAGCTGCTTTCAGTAGCTGCTGCAATGTGTGGAGGTAGATCATTTGTTTATTAGATAGTTGTTGACCCACAGTAAGAAAGAGAAAGAAAAACAAGGCTCTCGCTGAAATCTATGCACGTTGGCAACTATCCCGAGCGGGCGTTGCTGTTTCCCTTACTGGGATGAAATTTATGGGGATCTGGATGCAGTTTTTCTCTCCAGCTGAAACGTGTCGTTTTGTCGCTGTGTAGTCAGACATGTCGGGGTCACCAGTTGTGGGTTCTGGCCGGCAGAAGTCCCACGGAGACGGCATGAATTACTTGAGACTCTGTGGGAAAAGTCAAGAGAGCAAGAGGGAGTCGGGAGCCAACTTCACCAGCCTCTCAAATGCTCGCGCATTTCTTGTGTATAATCAAAGGAAAAATAACAGTTATGTGATGGCATGCAGGAACTTAGGGCAAGACAGGATGAGATGAAAAGTGTAGAATCCACAATGAGTATAACGGCTTGGCTTATCTTTAGGGAAGTCATGAGAAAAGGGAAACAAGATACATTTTTAGTATATTAATTACAAAGCAGACCACCAGACCAGCCAGTTTCTTGTTTACGGGATAAAAGACTATCTAACAGCAGGCACGTCCAGCATTTATAGCTGAAGGCCTGGGTCATTGCTTTGCAACTTGCAGAGTGTTGTCTAAAACCTCAAGTATACAAGCAAGGCATTGTCTCTACTTTTTACGGCAAGAAGACAGGAATGCAGATGCACAGGTGCCTGCTTGCAAAGCAATTACTAAGCTCATTTGTTTTTCTTAAAGGTGACAGGCCGCTTGGGTTTGTTACAATTTGTAAACCCAATCATGGGCTCCCACATCCATCTGTTGCTGTTTTAAAGCCCTTAAGAGTACCTCATAAATTCTTAAATTACTTGCTTAAAAATCTGCCCCTGCCACAGAGTCCTGTCCCCCAAGCTTTCCCTGTACTGTCTTCTGTTTTCCAGGGGTGTCTGGGTCTGTTCCAGCATCTGAGGGTTGAATGAAGGACTCAAAAGGCAGGGCTTGCCACCAGCTTTTCCTCGTGGAATCTTCTTCCTCTTCTCCTTCTTCCTTCTCCTCTTCCTCCTCCTTCTTTTCTA